GATGCTTATGTAACAATTACAGTCTGTTCATACATTCAAAATATACATTTAATCCTAAGTAAACACATTTGATTGATGTGTAAACCATAAACAAATGTTTAACACACTATGTATATTATTTTACGGAAAAATAATAAGACGATGGCTACAAATTTAATCATTAAGACAATGCAAATTAATATTTTAAAAAAGAATTCAGTGAGAAGGGACAATTTTTAAAAATTCATTAATCATGGACACATTTTCTAACAAAATTAAAAGTACAATACAAAATGAATAAATAGTTTCACAGATAGTTTTAAAATAGTTCATTACAATAAAGTATACTAATACTGTAGGAACATTTTGTATGTATCTTTATCTTAAACCATTTTATTAATACAAGTACTTGGGTATAAATACAAAACTGGAGACAATACATGCTTAAAAGAACCAAATGAAAAGTACAGAATGGTTTTTACAATCACCTGGGTGCAGAAAGCCGATAAAGAAAAACACCACTTTTCTGCTCTCAAAATTTGAAATGAATATCAAAAAATAAGAAAGAAAAAATTAAGACTTGCGTAATTAGCCATCAGCTTGTTCCTAGAAGTATTTTATTGTTATTAAGCTCCTTTAATTTAGTTTTGCAACATGTTCTTAAGGCCTGACAGTAAAATAGTGAAAAATTATCATTGTTTTTGCAGTCAGTAGCAATGAAGAATACTCATAATTGGCAAATTTATTTTTAAAAAATAGGGAAGTTTTCATTCTCAAAATATCCTAATTAAAATGTTTGAAATCCTTTTAAAATAATTTAGAATGGAAGTTGTTTTGAATTAATATATAAATAGGGATAGTTCATTTTAACAATAGAATTCTTTTTGTCATGATTTACAACTTTACTAAAAGAGAAAATATATTGATGAAAAAAATAACATTTTTAATCTTAGATTTATTTCATAAACAAGTTTTTAAAATGTCTTCATTTTTTAAGTAAAAGCAATAAACTAGATAAAGCAATTTGACATTTAATTTTGTTAAACATTTTGAGGAAAAAATACCAGTAAAAAACTGGTAAGTAAACAAAAAAGTTAAAAATTCAATAGCCTCACAGTTTTCCTTTCTGCTTAAACCAATTCAACATTTATTAAAGATGTTATCATTTTGCACATAAAAATTGAATTTTATAAGCAAGTTAATCACACTACACCAAGTAATGTAAAATGATCTTACTGCATTTGTCTACAAATTTTGTTGTGTTGAAGAAGAGTAAGAATGCATCAGGAGATTTCTGGCTTGGGTTTATGGGATCTTTTGTCAACATGCAACACCCAGCCAGAAAAAAGTACAGGTCGCTCAAAACAAAATGGAAATTAATCAGAGCATCTGCTGAAGACTAAATGATAACTCCATGTTCATGTGTGTTCCAAATTTTTTGTTTAAGTCTCCAATGATAGTAAAAATTTCCTGTGCAAAAAACCCATAACTTTTAGCTAGGGTAATAAAAACAAATGAAATCTATGAGCACAAACTGAATCAAGGGAAATAAATTATTATTTAATTTAAAAAAAAAGAGATGTTTTTAAGTTGAAATTAAGTGGATGAGTAAGTTTTATGTGAAATAAATAATTGCTACTCCTAAATAATGTGGATTGTTTGTAATAAAAAATTATAATATACATATTTATATAAATATATAAAACTTATTTCCAGGATATTTCTGATCACAATAAATAGGGGAAAAATGGAAAATGAATAATAACAAACCTGAGTGAATGAATGCTCAATAAATAGTATAAAAATCAATCGTAATAATAGAATACATTAAATATTGTTTTTGTAATGAACTTATACCTTTGGGGGTAAATATACCACCCAAATTTATTATTTTTTTTTTAGCAATAACCGTACTTATACCTCTAAGCAAAATATAAATGAAGGAAGGAATGTGCCCATTATTATTACAACTTTTTTGAAAAATTCAGAAAGTAAAAAAAAAATTATGAAGTATATTGAACCTATCCTAAATAAATGAAATGAAGCACTGTTTATTAGCAAATTATTATAAAATTAAAAAAGGTAGAAATCTGATACTCTTTTTCTTTTATGCGATATATATATTGAAAATTATACACATTTTTATGCATGTATCAAGGTGCTTAATATCATATTTAACTCATTAATCATAATTCATTTAAATAAATACAAATAAGACATGAACAGATTTTTGCAAATATTTCAAAACATAATATAACTATTCCAATAATTATGTACTTGCTGGAATATTCAAAATTTTAAAGTTTGAACAATTTTTAACAATTTGATCATTTGAAAAGTTTGCTTATGTCAGCAATCCAAAAGCTACATTCACTGAGACTAATGTTGCAGTGCTGGGTTAAAATAATTAGGAATTAAAACTTAACTCTGCAGGCATTGTGTACTGGTATTGTCATTAAGTAACCAAGATAATGTGCCTTTATTGAACTAAAACAAATTCTGATGAATATTTTGGTCTATTTCTTTCTACTTTTATAAATGGTAATATAAAAATCTACTTAATTTTTTTTAAAATTTCTTTTTATAGCAAGTGAAATTAAGTGAATATTTTCATTAAAACAAAATAGTTCAATAAAAACTTTGGTAAAATAAAGTTCATTTGAAACCAATAAGATGTCTACTTGGAAAAGAAATTTAAATTTTGAGTTTTTAATTCCCTTCTAAAAAATAAATAAAATGAAAAAAAAAACAAACCAAGAACTATATGACTTTATGTTTGTTGTTTTGTGTATGTTAATTATGCATCTGGAAATGAAAATGATCATGGATTAATAAAAAATGAAGTCATAATATGTAATAGTAATATACACTTTCAAATATATAATTTTTCTAAGCTATTGGGACTGTTTAAAAAGAATAAATACAAAGAGCATTCAAGGGAATTATGTGATTGAAACAACACCATTATGGATACCTAACCATTCAGACTATTCCGTTGTTAGAGCTGTATTTTTGGAAATAAATAAAGCACAGCTCACCATATTATGCTTAATACGAAAATAAAATATTTATTTTTAAAATATTATTCTCATTCTAATCACAAGTATAAAATATGTCATTGTATCTGTTCATTCAGTTCAGAAAACATCATTGTTGCAATGGAAGATTTTAATAAGCATGTCAAGTAATTAAATGCAATTACAAGATACTGGTTATATGGAAGAGAGCAGATGAAATCATAATACAAAAATAAAATTTGTCTTGCATTGTAAAGCCTATGTCAAATTACACTTTTGAACACCAAATTTGGTGTGCTGACTAGACTATCACTTGAGAAGAGATTATATAATTTCTTACACCTCATTCATAAAGACTGTTTACCTTTAGGGTGGAGCACAGCAATATCCCATATAATATATCCACTATCTTAGCTGTACATGTATTAGGGTATAATTATATCCTTATGTTGCTGTCTTGTCTTTCAGACGTAAAAGTGATTGAAAAGATGGCAAAGTACTTACATTACAGAATATGAATAACCCCAACATCTTTGGATCTTTATGTAAAACTTTTTGGAAACATAATTTTCCCCGGCTATCTTTGAGGAAATATGATGACAAATTTTATACAATTTTGAAAAACTTTTTGAAGAAATTTTCCCTCGTATAATTTGGTTTCAAACATACCTTGGGTGTTGTTAGGCTCTTGATAAATATATTATTAAATCCAGAAAAGATACCTTAACTTTTCTCACTTCATGTATTTTATTAGCAGAACCAGAACACACACATTCCTAGCTATTAATTACAAAAACAAAAAAAAACCAAATTTTGAAATTAGAAAATACTTTTTCACTACGGGTACTCCATTGCCCATTTCTCCCCCCCCCCCCCCCCCCCCCCCCCCCCCCCCCCCCCCCCGATCATCTCCACCCTGAATTTTGCAAGAGTAGTTTGTATTTGTAATTCGAAAAAAATAAAGTAGACCTTTTTCATTCTTAAAAAAGCTTAAAAGTAATGCATGATTTAATAATAGAAATTCAAAGGTCTCCAAAGAGTAAAACAAACATTTACATAACCTTTACTTCGTAGAAAATAAATTGTTTAGCAGGTTATGAAATTCGTCATCAATAAATACACTTTTCTCTCAATCATATATTTCTTAACATTCAATTGTTCAAAAAAGCAAATCACAGCAAATCTAATAGTATAAAACATAAGACTGCAATATAAGGAACAAAAATGACAGCCTCACCTCTAAACTGTAGTGAAGAATAAATACGGCTGAAGCATAAATGTTATTTTTTTGAGAAGTATTGTTGAAGGACACAGATTTATCATTAATTGAACGGGAGCAGTCACTAGATACTTGCATATAATATAATTAAGATGTAACTCATTTGATAGTAATGCATCTAATCATCAACTTTTCATCTCAAATAATCTAACTTTCTTGAATTTTAAATTTAAGAGGATTTTTTTCCAAGAACGTTCAAAAATGAACTATGTTGTTGATATCTTGTTTAAATTAGGGATGTTACAAATATTTTTATGTAATTTACCACTCCTCCCCCCCCCCCCAAAAAAAAAATTACAAAGACTAAAATAATACTTTCAATCTGCTCAGAATTTAAAAAACAAAACATAACTTTCCAGGTTTTGGATTTCAATTGGTCAACTAGGTCCTTGCACATATAACGTAACAATGAAAACATTGAAACAGATATTCTCCAGGGATTTCACAACGCAATCCTTAAGAATCTGAACATTCCCAACCCACTTCAAAACTTTCAATAACATCAGCTGGGCAGTAAAGTAAGTAAATATCTGATTTAAAGTGACATATTTTCTATAGAAAAGATACGAATTTCATAACCAGTTTGATTTCATGTTCAGGATCTGTGTAGTGAGTCCGACAGCTTGACATGCACAAGCCAGTTGATAAAATATTGTTTTTCTTATATTGCAACATTTGATCAATTTCCTTCAACTGTTGTGTGAGACTTCCGAAACTGACCTGGATAGCAAGCGCTGGACAATATTTCTTACAGCACTGTATACTTGACGAGGAAGTGCACAGGGTTGTAGTTTGGTGACGACAGCACTGCAGTGTGTGAGGTAATCAGTGACACAGTTAAGGAAAATGTAAATATAACAAATATTGTGGTTTTAACACACTTTAACTTCTATTTCTACCAAGAAAACATGTTAAATACTGGTACAGTACATTAAATGACATACATTTTTTAACAAGCAATAACATAGTGCTTAAAGCAAAAAAATTTTAAATTAACCTATGAACCTCTGAATCACATGAAAAGTTCCAGTGTAAAGGTGTAATGCAACAATGGATAAATTAAAAATTTAAACCATCTACACACAAGAAAAAAATGTTCACATTAATCACATCTAGAAAGGAAAATTAATTTCAACAAATAAACCAAAAAAGTAAATAAATTAATTATGTAAAAATTTATTTTGAACTACTCTAATGAAAATGCAACTGAACTTTAACATCATGAGAAGCACAGTTTCTTCAAGGCATAATCTGTGCATTTCTTTAACACTTTCAAACAGGTACTAAATCCACAGGCTACGAAAGGATATAAAATTGACCAAGGAGGCTCACCCCCATTAATATATAAAACATAAGAGTAGCCATCCCTTGCCTTTCCCTGAATAGCATAGTAGTAAGGTAGGAAAAGGTGTCGTCTGAACCTGCGCCTCTCATAAAACCTGAGAGCCACAGTGTTTGTGGAGAGAACGTGAAGGTAGACAGCTTTACAGTCAAAACGATCTTTAGAGGTGAGGTATGAAAGTAGACTATCAAGAAGCAGTGAAGCTGGTGGGAAAATAGAAAATAAATTATGACACTCATTTCTATTAATGAAATTAGTAACGGTATAGCGTCAAGGTAATAGTTGTGGTTTATTATTAAGTAAAAAAAAGAAAAAACTCAACTGAAAAACAATATAATCATCCTTAACACCTTCAGATATATGAAAAAATTATTAAAATTAAAATAATTCTATACAAATTTGGCGGGTCGTATAATATAAAGTACCAGCATTTAAATAACAAAGGTAGTTTAATTCGTTTCAAACAGTTTCCTAACTTTTAAAGAAAATTTATATTTTTCTTATCTCAAGCAACAACTTACTTGTTTGGTTTCTCATATGTATTATATATATATATATATATATATATATATATATGGTTTTTCAGAAATTGGCTGTCTAGTCAGTTGTAAAGCATTTACAATCTTTAGTTAAGTATCCAAACATTTTTAACAAAAACTACTGGCATAGGTTCACTGCACTATGTAATAGAGAGCTGAACTAAAAAAAAAATTAAGGCTTCCTGGATACTTGGAGGAAAAAAGAAATTTAAAAAAAATGGAGCATACCGATTCCATTTCGACGGAAATCTCCAACTACTCCCAAGCTTAGTATATAAGCCACCTGAGCTGAAGGTGGATAGTAACTGGCGAGTAAGTCACCATCCTGAAATAAGACATGAGGTTAAATAACTTATTTTAAATTGGTTAATCAATTTGATTGTGGCTAATAAATAAAAAAAATAATAATACCAATTTGTAGCTAGTTAACAAACGGTAGGAAAATCAAATGTATATAATTACACACTATACTGAATCTCACCTCTTTGTTAAGTTTCCCTTGGGGTTTAAGCTCTGCTACTATGAGACCAATGATGAGTCCATGGTAAGTGGCAGCAAGAGAATAGAATCGTGAATTGGATGTTATCTCTTCATACCAAGAGTCGGGATACCTGCATACAAAGTTGCATTTGGTTTGTGTTAATAATAAGCTTTACTAACAACATAATCTGCATCGATTTGAACATTAAATAAAATCACATTGAGCTGTCAAAGCTTGGTGTATCAGTGGAGGAATATTGGTATTATTTTTTTAGGACAATGAAAAGTTAAATATTAATTAATTTTTGTCTTTTTATACTTTTCCTCCTAGAAATAAAGGTATATAATTATTCAGATTGATTTTATAGGTATCGTACATTTAATAACACCAGTGATTGTCATTTCAACATTAGATGATCTGGAAATAGAACATTCAGTCACAGATTGAGACCTCACAACCATCAATAAGGTTACAATAAATTTAAAATAATAAATATTGAAGTTGAACTTACTCTATAGGAAACCATTCCCTGCATAGCTTTTTAACCTCACTAACATCAGCAGGTCCAAGAAAACGAAGTTGAACCTCCTGCTGAACACTTAAAGCAAGTGGTGCTTGTGTTGTCATGTCTTCGCCACACAAAGACATTACACTTAATTCTTTATAATATCATTATAATGAAGCAGCTTTAACTAAATAAAGGCAAAAGTTATGAAAGTCGGTGGGAAGTTTAATTAAATTATTGGTAAATTATATCTCAGGGTCACAACAATCAAGAGAAATGGTTTCTCCATCCTGTCAGGCGTTTTCACAATTTTCATTAACTGGTCCTGTTGGATAAAGATATAAAGAGAAAATATTAATAGTATTTCCTATGCCTATTGGCATTGGCCAGGAATGAAATTAGATTTATTTTTTACCCTTGTCACATCATGTGCACCAGCACTAAGAAGCCTCATCAGACCTTAACTCAAGGCTCAGACCTGCACTTGCACCACTAGTGCCCTGGCTATGAGTAGGCTTACCTCAAACATTTATAAGGCCCAAGGCCAATGGCTGTACCATCAATTATGTCGGACTACCCTTTTTTAATTATAACTTCACTTTTTCAATAATTTTCAATCTTTAAAAACAAAAAAAAAATTGGAGTAAAACTACTCGTAAATCTGAAACCAAGCCAAAGGCCAAAGTCAAAGTCTAGTAAAAAGGTAATTTAAATTGCTAAAAACTTAATCAAACTTGACATTAGTCTATACTACTATAACGTTTGAATTATAAACCTACTGAATCGTTTGTATTTCCTTTGGTTATATTATAATCAAGTACGTATGAAAATAAACTTTTTTGCTTAGTTTAGTTCACATGTTTACCAATTCTTTGTGAAAATTATTTACAAGTTACAAGTTGTCCTGGTAATATGAGGGAGCTTGTAACTTGTGGTTAAATTATAGTATTATAGTACTCAATATTGACTTTTAAAATGTAAAACAAAATTATATACTTGTTTTATAGTGTCGCTATTTAATTACATCTATAATTAATAGTTAAATAGTAAACGACAAAATGTTATTATCATTTATAAATAGTTTTGCAATCCATTTTCACCTTATAATATTAATAGGCAATGTCTATAAAAAATCTACCCCACTTCCGCTGAATAAAGCGGAAGTAAACAAAGAATATACGAACGAATTGAGAAAACCACATTATATCCCAACTCTATTTTTATAGTGCTAGCTAAATTAAAGATATATGCAGATTTTTATTTTAAGGAACGTTTGTGTTTAAGACGGGGAAATGGGGGAAAGGTGGAAGAATTTCATATGAGAAACTAACCATAAAGGATGAAGTATTATCCTATATGAATTTAATAGAACATCGCAAATATTATTTATGAAATTCACTAAGGACGGGGCCATCGTTAAATGACATTACTCATTACGCTATTATGGCCAATTTTGGTTTTCCCCTTCCCCCCATCGTGACACATTTGTCACACACTCATACACCCTCATAATACATCGTCAACAATTTGTGAACCATCCTCCCCTCAAGATGCGTGGCCTCTTGGGACATACGCTTACATGTTTATAACATCATCATCATCAATGGCACTACAGCCCATGTAGGGCCCTGGCCTGCTCCACCACATCCTTCCATTCGGATTAGAGACCGACCGAAAGTGATTTTCTGATTTCGGCCGAAGCCGAAAATAGGCCGAAAGTTTAAAATGACTTTCGGCCTAAACCGAAAAATACCGAAAGTTTAAAAATGACTTTCGGCCGAAACCGAAAACATACCGAAAGTTAAAAATGAATTTTGGCCGAAACCGAAGCCCAAACCAAAAATGAAATATTAAGATATTTTGAAATTCGTTCCCACATACAATTTTCATACATCGAAAATGATGTGGGAAAGTATAAACATTTACATTCTTTTTATAAAAAATGAGATAATCGTGAATATTAATAAATAAACATCTAATATAGGGGTCTCAAACTCGCGGCCCGCTAGCCATTTGTGACCCGCAAGACGATATTTTGCGGCTCGCTACATGACAGAAAAGTTTAGTGTAAATGCGCCGGCCCGTTTCCCCCATTCTCATATCTATAACGTGACTCTCCGCGACGGTTTCAGTCGAATCTCACCGACTAGTCTAATTCAGATTTTTTTTTTTTTAATGTTTCTATATATTTTTGTATGCCAGGTCTCTGGCAACAGTCAGTAGTTCTTGAGAACTCTTAATGTTTTTATTGCTGTTTATAAAGGTTGAGCAGATTGTAACAGTTGTAATCGCTTTTTGTGTGGATTACTTGATGCAGCCCACTCTCATTCAGACACTACCTCCTTGTGCCCCCCCCCTTTCCCCCTATGATTTGAGTTTGAGACCCTTGATCTAAGAATACTTAGGATTTTACCATTTTAATATAAAAGTAATTTAAATTGCTTTACATTTTTTTTAAAAATTAGTATGTAGGAGAAAATGGGG